TGGTTGTCCTGGCTACTGTGCAGTACAGATCTCTGTAAAACTCCTCTGCTATTTTAACTGTTCTATCCAGATTGGTAGTTACTTTGCCTTCCTTGTCCCTTAGTGCATACATTTGGTTTTTGCCTACCCAAGTTTTCTCTTCACCACTTTGACGCTTCCTCCGTTCTTTAGGAAGCATCAAAGCAGTGAAGAGGAAAAGTAAGAATGCATCTACTGAGGACAGGTAATAACCGCAGGGCCGAACCACGAGATTTATGTAACTAGAAGAATAAGAATGGTGTGGAGCACATTTGGCAAGCACTCTCAAATTGTGACTGGTATATTGCCACTATTTCTCAAAAGGAAGGTATATAACAGCTGCATCTTGCCACTATTTACATACGGAGCAGAAACCTAGAGGCCTATTAAGAGGGTTCAGCTTAAACTCTGTATGACGTAGCAGGCGATGGAAAGGAAAATGGTAGGTGTAACCTTACGAGACAAGAAGAGAGCTGTGTGGATCAGGGAACGAACAAGGGTTAAGAATATCAAATTGAGTGATTGATATGTGGGGTTTAACGTCTCAAAACCACCATATGATTATGAGAGACGCCGTAGTGGATGGCTCCGGAAATTTTGACGACCTGGGGTTCTTCAACGTGCACCCAAATCTGAGCACACGGGCCTACAACATTTCCGCCTCCATCGGAAATGCAGCCGCGGCAGCCGGGATTCGATCCCGTGACCTGCGGGTCAGCAGCCGAGTACCTTAGCCACTAGGCCACCGCGGTGGGGCAAGAATATCAAATCAAGAAAAAGAAATAGACATGGGCCAGGCATGTAGCGCGTAGGCAGGATAACCGCTGGTCATTAAGGATAACTGAGTGGATTCCCAGAGAAGGCAAGCGGGTTGGAGCATACAGAAAGTTAGGTGGGAAGATGAGATTTGGAAGTTTGTGAGTATAAAGTGGCAGCAGTAAGCACAGGACCAAGTTGACTGGCAGGACATGGAAGAGGCTTTTGTCCTGCAGTGGATGTAGTCAGGCTGATGATGATGATGATGAACAAACCATCAGTTTCTGTCTCCTTCACCTGTGAAAAAACTATAGTCAGGTGAACATTGTGGTACATAATAAAGGAGGAGTGTAAAGCATGTTTTGGGCTAATTAAGGACGGCAGTCTCGCACCACGGTCTCACTGATAACGAAGTTGCAGGATGACGAATACTGCAGCTTTTACACTGCTCTTATGCAGAGGAAGTGCAGTATTTTCGTATTCATGAAGAAAATGAAAATGTATTGACTTAACAGACATTTGTTTCTTTTTTTGATACTGTCAATAGTTTTACATTCGGTTCATTTGGACATTTCTTCTGGTCACGTGAATGCCAAATTAAAGAGCTCATACTGTATGATAATTGCTTGTGCTTTTGGAATGTTAGCAAATAGATGTAGGTGATCACTCTCTTATAAACAGCATTAACTTATCTATGTGTGCAAGGCAACTTATTCTTTACTTGTGGTTATTTAGCATTGTTTTTACAGTCGACTCTCAGAGAAGTGTTGTAGCACTACAGCAGTCTTTTATTTTTTCCTATTTGAAGTAAAAAACAGTACCCCAAATGTAGCTAAGTGGCTTATGCATAGAAAAATTCAAAGTTAAGGCATATCAAAAGAGGTGAGTAGATTTTGCCTCTACCCTGTGTTTGCAAGTACAGTGGCTTTTGATTGAATTGTGTCAATGTAGGGCTAACTACATGTACTTGTTTTCATTGTTCTGGGGTCATCTCTCATCGGCGTCTTTTTGGCTTGTACCCTTGCATCAGTGTTGATATCACCTTTAGTTGCCAGATTCGTAGCGACATATGTGGTTATCTCGAGCAGTTGCGCATGCCTGTTGTTAACCCATTCAGCGGCAGTGGCAACTTGTTTATGCTAGTGGTATGACCTGGCGGCAAAAACAGAGCAAGACACATTGTTCGCTAGATGAATGGAACCTTTTGCATACCACTTTAAAATCTCGGTGTGCTGCATATGTGTAGTCAATCACTTTGGTGAAGGGACTGCTGGGTTCAATGGGTTGTTTAATGTGCCGCACTTTCAGAACCAACATCAAAAACCTTACTGTGCTTTTCTTGAAATGAAAGCAACCAAGATCTAATTGCACACACATTTAAGGCCTAAAATGTCATACTTTTTATGTCAACATAAAACCTGACTGACTGTAGAATGAAATATTTGATTACCTGCTAGATACCATTTACATCTGCACAGCACGGTTTTCGCAAATCGCTCTCATGCGAAACACAGTTAATATCCTTTACTCACAAGCTGCATCGCATTTTAGACCAATCATCAAAAGCTGACTGTGTTTATTTAGACTTTTCTAAAGCCTTTGACACGGTATGCCACAAGCTGCTACTACACAAACTAAGCAAACTCCAACTCGATGACACCATAATGAAGTGGATTGTATGTTTCCTTGAAAATCGCTCGCAATTTGTTTCAGCTAATAATCATAACTCTTCATTCAGCCAGGTTTCCTCTGGTGTCCCCCAGGGATCTGTTCTTGGACCTCTTTTGTTTCTTATTTACATTAACGATCTGCCTTCTCTTATATCCTCTAATGTTCATTTGTTTGCCGACGACTGCGTAATTTTTCGCGAAATAACTGCTGACAACGACTCCTACTCTCTCCAGTCAGATCTAAATAGTGTAAGCAACTGGTGCAAAGAATGGTTAATGGAACTTAATGTCACTAAATGTAAAGTAATGCGTGTATCGAGAACTACTAGTTGTATGCCTATATATTACCTGAACAATACACCACTTGAAATCGTTTCCTCTTACAAGTACTTAGGTGTTCATATTACCAACAATTTAACTTGGACGAAACACATCGAATACATTATTAACAAGGCAAACCGCATGCTAGGTTATTTACGTCGAAACTTTTTTTCAGCCCCGTCTTCTTTAAAACTTCTTCTATACAAAACACTAATCAGATCCAAACTAGAGTATGCAACACCAGTATGGGATCCTTGCCACGACAACTTACTCACCGCACTTGAACTTGTTCAGAATAATTCAGCCCGTTGCATACTATCAAATTACAACAGAACGGCAAGTGTAACGGCAATGAAAAGTAGTATTGACCTCCCATCCTTAGCATCACGACGTCGCATTTTTCGCCTAACTTTATTTCATAAGATTTATTACCATGCTTCTCTCCATGCTGAACTGCTTTCACAACCTCAGTACATATCATGTCGAATTGACCATAATCATAAAGTTGGAGTTGTTTCATCTAACACTAAATATTTTGCTGAGTCTTTCATTCCAAAAACATCCCGAGAGTGGAACCACCTTCCCGCCGATGTTGTTTCCATACGCGTTAATCACCTGTTTCATCAAGCATTAGCTAATATTGTATAATCAGGATAATCTATGTTTTTTCTATTTAAACACATGCTCTGTTTTTTTTCTATGTTTTGTACATCTTGTTACTCCCACTCCCCTCTTCAATGCCCATGGCCTTGAGGGTATAATAAATAAATAAATAAATTAGCTGCTGAAACTTGCAAAAAAAAAAAAAACCACACATTACTTCATTTTCTTTCTTGGGATGCAGTATTGAGTGCTTTGGCATTACGTTATGTGAATGTGATACACTTGTAGACGGGGCATCATTATTCATGCCTGAAAGGGTTATACTTGAAGTTTTGATGTCACATTTCAATATAAGAGCACTGTACTACCACTTCCAGTCCACTTCTAATCTCCTCATCGAAACAGCTAGCCATGCACCTAAATATTTCTCTGCAGATGGCAGCTTTTCCTGTAGAAACGTTGTTTTTCCCATGGCAATTGATGCAGAGCTGTTTACTGTGAGACACCCAATGGAATCACTTTCCTCCAGTGTATGGGGGTTAGTCTATGACCCTGTTACGTTGCTATGTATATTATTGCAACGTGCAAGTTCTTAGTGGATGGGTGTCTGAGACCCCAGACACCTACGAAAAGACGAGGCCGTTTGTACACCACACTTTGTACACACATGAAAAAGCGGGCACACATAACATGGACAGACTATGTAAACAATCCTTCCCTGTCTCCTTGCACTACCGAAGCCTTATCTTAACATTCCCTCATCTTAGCATGGACACAAGACACGAGGCCGGTCTCGCCAAAGTTCGTTGCTACATCTTGAGCTGGATCCCGTTGTCCGCACGGTAGACCAGGCAGCTACTTGAAGAGTTGGCACCACCACTGTAATCCATCCCGGCCGGACACCTGCTTTGGAACACGTGTTTGTAGCCCGAGAGCTCCGCGTGTCCTCGGGCACAGGATGCCTTGAAGCCGCAGCACGTCAGCGACGCACGGCCGTGGCAGGTAGTACGTGGCAGGTAGCTCGGGTTCAGCTGCTACCAGGCTCAGGTCCGGAACCCAACGGCCGTGTAGCGAGCCCCGTTTTCCTCGTTCCTTCTCTTGTACCTTCGCCGCCACGCTCCCTCCTTTTTCTCATGCCTACCGTAGCCTGTTTCTATTGTTTTTTTTCCCTGTTTTTCTTCTGTTTGGTCTTCAGCCCAGCACTCGTGCCACCTTCGTCGTTGTCTGCTTCCAACTCTTGTAATGGCGTGCACTTTGATCCTTCACGCATGTCACTTATCACAGACCCTAAATGATTTCAAGCAGAAACACGCTTGCCATCAAGCAACCACATTGTTGTGGCACTAAAATTTTCTGCTGAAATTTCAGCTTATGCAAGTTTTCTTCCTAGTGTGTAGTACTATTACCATGAAGCAACATAAGTAAGAAATGACAGTTTGTTGCAAAAGGTTGTAGAGCTACAACCTGAGGCCTCTCCAATTCATAGAGAGTTGCAGAAAGTCAAGATGTGAACATTGTGTTATACTTATAATTTTTTATAGCGTGAAAAAAAATTCTGCATTGAGGTGCTTAGTGTTAAAATGAGCTTTTTTTACCCCAGTGCTAACATCTCTCTGCATACATTGTTTGCAGGTCGGCTGTTGCGTTGTGTGCAGTGTCCATCAGCCTTCCACCCTGAGTGCCTGCCAGCTGGCTCAAATACTCTCGGTTCTAGTTCCTTGGTGTGTCCACGACATGGATCGCAGAACACAGCCTCTGCTATTAATGTTAGTTGGTGCATGGTGTGCTCCGAAGGTGGGAAATTGCTGTGCTGCGAGGGCTGTCCTGCTGCCTTCCATGAGACGTGCCTTGGCCTGCAAGAAACACCAGAAGGGACCTTCCTGTGCCCCGACTGCCAAGACTGGAAGTATCCCAAATACGGTGACATGATTTGGGTCAAACTGGGCTGTTACCGCTGGTGGCCAGCCCAAGTGTGTGCACCAGGTGACATACCATTAAATATTCAGGCCCTTAAGCATGAGCCTATTGGAGACTTTGCAGTGCGTTTCTATGGCTCACATGATTACTATTGGACAAACCGGAAACGGGTGTTCCTTTTCGAAGAAGGTGACAGTGGCAGCCTGAATGCAAGCAGCAAGAGTGTGGCACGCCTTTTTCAAGCTGCCCTTGAAGAAGCCAGACAGGCTTGGGAGGAGCAGCGAAGGGCTCGTGAGCTGGGTGAGAAACCAGCACCTTTCCGCATGATCCGTGTCAACCGAGTTGTATGTCCAGGAGCAGCAATGCCTTCCGCTGCTGTACATAAGAGATCAGTCTGTACGTGCACCCCCCAGGACCCCTGCCGTGCTAATTGCCTGAATCGACTTCTTCTATACGAATGCTCTCGTAAGCTGTGCCCTGCAGGTCCCGCTTGTGAAAACCAGCGCTTTCAGAAGCGAACATATGCTGAGACCGCGTTGGTGCGGACACCTGGCCGTGGATGGGGCTTGCTCACAAGTCAGGCACTGGCAGCAGGTGATTTTGTCATGGAGTATGTTGGAGAATTGATCGATGACAAGGAGTGTGAACGACGGCTGAAAGAGCTACACACGGACAATATCCAAAACTTCTACTTCTTGACCTTAGCAAAGGACCGCATCATCGATGCTGGACCAATGGGCAACATGTCCCGTTTTATAAACCATTCGTGCCAGCCAAACTGCGTGACGCAGAAGTGGACTGTCAATGGAGATACACGAGTTGGTATCTTTGCCATTCGTGACATTCCTGAAGGTTAGTGGCTTGTTATGCATGCTTTGTTATGCATGTTCTATAAATGCAGGGGTGAAACAGCTGCAAATATTGCACATTTTTGATACATTTTCGTTTTCTTGCATCGAACTGCTCCAAAACAGCCTCGAAGGCTGTAATTTTGATGCCAACCTCAGCTTCAGTGGGAAAAAGGGCCAAGTTGATTAATAAGACGCAACTATGCATGTTCTTCTTCTTTTGTTTTGCACCTTTCTGATGACAAATGCTCCCGTGGTGCCGCCATAATCTCCTCTAAACCGTTGTAAACATGCGTGACCCCACAAAAAATGTGCTGTTGTGCATGAAGCGTGCTACTTCTACTAGCTAGGTTGTGTGTTCTGGTGCCATTGTCGCCTTCCAAAAACTACAGAGTCGAGTGTTGAGCGTAGTGGGATTGACTCTCGGGTTCTTTGTTGCGCATAGTGCGTTCCTCCGGTCGCTGCAGTTTTCCTGTTAATGCTGCTGCGCGCAGTCACCTATTTGTGCCGTGAGCAAGTAACTGTAAACGTGGAGTCAATTCCTTGCATGCGACGCGTCTCCTGGATGTTCTGGCGTGTGCACATGGGTTCTCAACATGGGTTCCATCAGCGACAGAACGCGAGCAGCTTATTCCCGGGTTACCCCCATTAACTACTAGCTTATTTAGACAACTGGGTTCTGTGGGGATCTGAGGTGCGCCCGCAACCATTTTGCGGGCATTCCGCCGTACGGCCGCTCTCCTTCTTCCTCTCCCGGCAACTCGATTGTTGGCTGGGGGGCATGTTTCTGCACGATGTACCGGCACCAGAAAGAGAATGGCACATCACTGGCAGTCTCCGACTTCACCCTCGCCTCACCGACAACCAGCGCCACCTATGTTCATGTAAGGGTCGTTGACCCGGTTCTTCCCCCACACAGACACACACACCGGCACCACTAAAGCGTCCTTCGTTGATCTCGCGAGTAACCGGTCGCTACCCCTCTGCAGGCCAAAAAGAAAAAAAGAAAACATCAAGTAAAGAAGAACATGAACACTCAAATGAATGAAAGCAGCAGCAACTGGGCGGAGCTGACTTTTTTGTAAGCACAGGCTGTAAAGAAGTTAGCTAACTAGACTAGATAGTAAAAATAAGGGCCTTCGGTTGCAGGAATAAGCCCGCCGTCCGACGCGAAATCACTAAGGTGACCGCTTCCTCTGGTTATACCAATGCATGGTCTGAATGCGGTCCGCCGCGCTGGGTATGCGCCTTTGGTTGCACAAAGAGCCACTGGGCACTGGCGCAGGCTCATCAGACTTCGACGCAAAGGCTTTCAGGTCTGCGATGTTGGCATGGCCGAGTTTTCCTGAAAGCGGGTCTTTCAGTAAGTATGCGAGCAGAGTCCAAGCTTTCTCCACTCGGTACGGACCAAGCCACTTAGGAGCAAGCGAAGCTGAGAAACCCTTGCTCGCGTCGATAAGAGCGTAGTTGCACTTCGGGACAAGGTCACCTACCTTATATGAAAAGTGGCAATGTTTTCGGTCGTACTGGGCCTTTTGCTCGACCCTGGCCAATGCCAAACTCTGTCTTGCTCAACTGAGAGCTCGACAAAGCCTGTCCCAAAGTGTTGAAGCGTAAGCAGAACAGTCTGCCGGTTCTTCCTCGAGCTGGCAGTGCATGACACTGGTCACCGGATTTGCCAACTCTCTTCCGAAGTTAAGTAAAGCGGGAGAGAAACCAGTAGAGCGACTCTCGGAGGTTTGAATTGCAAACGCGAGTTCACTCAAATGGTCTGCCCAGTCCTTTTGACTTTTGTCAAAGGCCGCCAACATCGGTTTGAGCGTACGATTGGTTCGCTCCGTCAAAGTGGACTGGGAATGGTAGGGTGAAGTGATGCAGTGATTAATGCCTAGGGAACGGCACGTATCCCCAAACAACCAAGCGGTGAAATACGACACATTGTCCGTGATAAATCTTTTCGGAAAGCCGAACCGGCTAAACACTTCCTGTAGCTTCTCTAGCACCGCTCTCGCTGTCACTTTCCGTAGCAGAAACAACTCCACCCATTTAGAAAACTGATCAACAACTACCCATCAGATGTATGAACCCCTGCTTACTTCTGGGGAATGGCCCCATCAGGTCGCAGGTGGCTACTTGCCACGGACGCTCATTGATAATCTGTCATCAAGCTGGGCGGCTTGCCACCCTTTTATTTCACTGCTTGACAGACGTGGCAGGAATGGCAATAGCGAAAAATGTCATGCTTCATGCCAAGCCAAGTCACAACCTTGCTCAGTTTCGCAAAGACTTTGGAGCCACTCAGGTGACCGGCCATGAACTTGTCGTGAGAGGCTCGCAACAGTGCGCCTCTCAAACTTTTGGGCATAACTACCTTATACGAGTCCACAGACTCCTCATCAGTGGCTATGTATTTCAGCAGGAACTTTGCATTTATAAAAGCCATCGCACTTAATATCCGCGCATCAATGTCTTCAGGTAGAGAGACGCACTTGGTTATTTGCGAAGCCGTGGTGACGGAACGCGCGTTCGAACCATTTTAAACATTATGAACGGGCTTCTCGGCGCTTTATTCGTGACTCATGACGCGTTGGCAATCACATGGCACAGTTGTCATGAATGGTGATGTGCCGCTGCTTCGTTTTGTAATCTAAATCCTCAATGTACTCTTTAAGCGACGTCGCTGCATGCGTGCCAGCTCCGAGTTGTGCTTTTAGGCTTAGCTTGATCGGTGTTTCGGGCGGTGGCAGTGTGACTTCGTTTTCTTTTTATTTATTTTTCTTATGCAATAAAACTGGCCTCTGTACATTCGGCAGTTCGTTTGCGTAGACACGAATTTCTTACCTGCGCTGCCCGAGCACTTTACCTGAGTCGCGGAGCGGCAATCACAAGTCGATGTATTACTGGGAGTTCTACATCGACGGTAACCTATGATAATATATATATATATATATATATATATATATATATATATATATATATATATATATATATATATATATATATATATATATATATATATATATATATGTGTGTGTGTGTTAAACTAGTCGGCGTGTGCCGTATTAATAATCCGTGGTTGCTCGCGTGGAGAGGCATTATCAGCATCATTCGCTTATCACTTAGTGCCACACTCACGCGCTTTACGAGATAGTTGGTGTGACGAAGTTTCTTGGCACCCGCGCTGAAATCTTGAAGGTGGTCCTGCACGAGGTGGCCGCAAACGGGGGGTGCAGCGCACTTTTGTTGTCAAAAGTTCTTGACGCTATCATGTCAGGCTTTTCTTTAAGCGAAGGACCACTGTTACGTAGCTAAGATTCTTGTACAATCGCAATTTTTGAATTTCTTTTTTAGTGTGATGCGTATATCTTTTTAACTGTTTCCGGGGAACCTAGTTTTTAACAAAACCTTTTTTTTTATTACATATTATTTCACATGTTTGTTACGAGGGCCGTGGTATGTAAAAACGTAGTGCAGTTCACACCTAGCAATAATCTGTTTAAAAACTTCCTTCAAAATCTGTTTCAGTGTTATGTGTATTATAAACCAATTATAATATGCACTGGTGCCCCCACGTTGCTAAAAATTTGTATTTTTCAAGCTCCCAGGACGACATATCAAATTCTGCTAACTGCTCCCAAGCAAGATTCTTCTGCTACAAAATGGAAATTTCGCTGCTCCAAAAACTGCTCCCAATTTAGTTTAGTCTCAGTCCACTCATCCCTGTAAACGTACACATGGTATACAAACATTTTTCAATATTTTAATGTACTGTGAAAGTGAACGGTCACGTTTGCAATGCAATTACTGCATTGTTCCTCAGCTGGGTATGTGCCAACTAGTACTCAAAGGATCTGACTTTGGCCTGAACGTGTGATTAGATGCTGGCGGAAGTAGAAAAATTGACTCATAGTGATGGCATTTTTTTAATATTTAAATAGGGCTGGGCAGAGATACCCAAAAAAGTATTCCGGAATGCAGATACTGAGATACATTTGTGATTGACGTTACAAGATATTTCAGAGATACTTTTGCCAAAAGACGAAAAAAGTATTCCGAAACACAAATACAGCAATACAGATACTGAAATACTTTTCTCTGTGTCGGGGATAGTCATACTCCGTACAGACATTTGTTATGTGCAGCATAATATTTAAAATGCGCAGTGCATTGAAACTTGCATAAAGATTTATTCATTATTTGATCCCCGTACCCTGAGTGTCATTGAGGCATTACAATGGAGGCTTATGCTGCACATAATTGTTAATAACGAGATATTTACAGATATCAGGCGCAATGAAAAACTATGCTGTATGAGAGAAAGAGTCACATGCATTCTACCCCGAAATTGTGATACTTGGCGGCAACAGTATTAGCTATGCTAGAAGTAGCGTAGCTCAAGCGAAGCGCTGGAACCATAAACAAACAAATTGAGAAAAAGTATGGTTTTATTCTCCGCAGTCAGCACGTGTCTCTGGCTGAAAAAGAAAGTAAGGCTCCTGAATTCCTTGCTGCCGCTGTAATGGCGGTACTTACTTCAATGACCTTCTACTTAGTAGACTTGCGGTTCAGGCTAGTTGGTTTCTGGTTTTTCTTAAGTGGTCTAGCGTGAAGCAAGAACACATAAACAATGAAGACGAGCATTTACTTCCAGTTGAAGGTTTAGTGTTTCCTAGAAACATAGAAAAAGCACAAAGAAGAATGAACAAAACAAGCAATGTGAAAGGAAACGCAAAAAGACCTTTTTCCAATTGCAGTGTAGCCACGTTGGCATCTTCCAGAAATGCTTTAGCGAAAGAAGTATTGTTGATGGCACACGGCACCACACACCAAATTCTTTGGGTGGTTTGTGGTTTCCGTGATAAGTTGCGGTTTCTCAAAGGGGCACCGCAAAAAAAAAAAAAAGTAACGAGCTACCCGTGTCCCGGATAGTATCGTGATACGGGGGATACATGGTAAAAGTATTTCACTACTGAGATACAAATACATTTTTGAAAAGTATCTCTG